GGTTTCCGCCCAAGCCGAAGAGGACTCCACATCCATCTCGTGGGGACTCTGGGTACACGGCAGGGAAATAAAGACCCCTGTGTGAGATTCAGAGGAGCTTGGCGACCTGATCCATCGCCCACCTCTTCCCGTCTTCGAGTGACAAATTTTATAAGACGTATCTACGAGTTTCCGATTTTGGTGGCGTGCTCACCCAGAGCATCTGGAGCTCTGTTTCCGTGGAGCCTAGCAAACTCCACGTGACCGTTCATGTTGTCTTTGTCTGTAACCGCAACTCAAGCAAGTTTTCCAGCCTACACCACGACCATCTCCGGTGTAAGTAAACAATCTTTAAATCTACCGCTACGAGTCTGTGCCTAATTCTAGCTTGACGCGCCTCCTCTCTCCGACCCCGCGTGCCCGGGCTGCTGGCCGCAGCCCACGTGCAGCACGAAAAAGGGCCCGGCTCGCGCCCAGCCCGCACAGCAAGGACTGCCACTGAAGTAGTTGAGGTTGAATCAGCTGTTTGCCCCTTGGGGAGGCAGATGCTGAGCTGTAACAAGACGCAGAAGTGGCATCGGGCAATGGGTTATTCCGATCAGTGTTACTGAGCAGCTCACGTGCACAAGGGAGGATGGGAAAAAGCATATCTTTATGCAGTTTACTGGGTTGGCTTGGGGGCCAAAGCACCACAACCCCAGGTAGTGGCTCTTAGGGTTCTGCCCACCAGCATACAACTGATCAGAAACCCCAAAAGAGCAGTTCAACCAGACCCATACAAGAGGTGGGGGAGCACTTACCGGGATTTTATTTGGATGCTGCTCTCGGATCTGCTGCACCTCTTTACAACGATCCGCTGGAAAGGAAAGAGAATAAAAAGTTTTGAGAAGGTGTCTGAATGGGTACAGCTGGGCACTCAGCCTAAGCCATGCATGCTGAGCTTTGCTGAGAAGAGAGACATGGTGCCGATGGAGACAATGTTCGTTAGATCTGATTTCCCAGCTTTTACCCCAGTGACCCAGCCCAACAAGCTCCAAATGGACAGATCATTGCTTAGCACTTTCATAGCCCCTTTTAGCTCAAAACTTTATTGCAACAGTGAACCCTGGAGGTGGGAAAGTGTTAGCCCATTTCTAGAACAGGGAGACATCTTTGCCTTACAGAAAAGGCAAAGATATTTGGGAACAATCACAGGGATTTTCAGAACTAGGAGTATGAAGCTCTGCTCCAAAATCCCCTGGCTTCCCAAAGTACCCCAGGACTCAACAGCTCTTTCACCTCAGCAGAGCTCCCAATTTTGGGGGGGCCTGTTTTTGAAAGTTTTGACCCTGGCCTTTCAGGCTCCTAGGCACACGCTATTTCTCCAGATCTGGCAGGTATTAAGCCCATAGCCAACAGCACTTTTGCTGTCCCTACCATCTTCCCATTTGCTTTTAAAGGCCAATCTGGTATAAAACCTTAATCCCTATCAAAAAATCACCCAGGTCACTCAGCGATTTGTGGCTACAAATCCTCTCCACCTGCAGTAGTGCTTATTTCCAAACTCACTACTGCCCCTGGCAGATGTTAATTTGTTACATGTTCTATGCAAGTATCACACAACAAGTAGCATGCCAAATATTAAACCAGTTTATTGCTGGATAAGAATGGAGAGGATAAGCCACAAAGAAGTTGCTCATTAAAATGGCAACATTTTTGTGGAGCAGAAGTACCCTATGATAATTTGAACATGTAACCAGTCAGCACATTAAAGATTTATTGTGCAATATTTGCATATAGCATGAGACAAATGAAACGTCTGCCAGGGGACTATGGGAGAGGAGTAAAGCCAAGGGTAAGAGGGGAGGTTCTAGCACAGGCTTGCCCAACGTACGGCCCACCAAGCCATTTTATCTGGCCCACGGCGGTGGCAGCACCACTGCCGCGGAGCGCAGAGCCACTACTGCGGAGTGCAGAGCCGCGGTGCGTGGGGCAGCAGCACGGAGACCAACCGGCAGCAAGGGCAGGGCAGGGCAGGGCAGGGAAGCTGCTTACCCCCGCAGGGCCTGGGGTAGCGGCCCTGCGCGGAAGGCCAAGCAGCGGCCGCTGCCACTGCCAGCCTGCGCCTGCCTCCTCACCCGCCCGCTTCAAGCCAGCCCCGCTGCCCTGTCCTACAGCAAAGCGGTGCCTGCTCCCCTGGCCAGTCTCCCCCCAGGTGCTGCGGTTCTCTGGGCCTCGGCCACCTGTGTGCAAGGCCCCGAGGGGTCCACTTCTCGTGTGCCGCTGGGGATGGGAGGAGCCCAGCTGGGTCTGCACTGGCCAGCAGAAGGGGTGGCAGAGCCATGTGCCGCTCAGGACGTGACAAGACTGCACCGGTCAGTCCCAAGCAGCACACAGCTCTGCCACCGCTTCCCTCTGGCGGCCCCCCCCCCTTCCCCAGCAGCACATGGGAAGCCGGCTTCGGCTGCATGCTGCTTCTCCTGGCTGGTGCCGACCTGGTTCTGCCCAGGCAGATCCTGCAGCACCATGTCAACCCAGGCATGGCACCAGCAGGCCAGGCGGGCCCCTGGTTAACCCTGGCCTGGCCCCGCGGCTTCTCCAGCACCAGGTCAACCCGGTTGTAGCCAAGCGGCTCCTGCAGCACCATGTCAACCCCTGCAACTTCACTGGTGTCAAAGGTCACGTGACATCACTTCCTGATATGATACCACTTCCTGTGACGTCTTTGAATATGGCTTGCCGGCTCACTGGGCGATAAAAAGTTCGTGATCCGGCCCCACATTCAAAAAGGTTGGGCACTCCTGTTCTAGTACATCCAGTTATTTCAATCTTGCACTTCATCATCACATCTTATGGGAAAGCAAACCTGTGGAAGTCATTTCTATAGCAAAAGCAGGCACAGCGCACCCTCCAATTCCCATCCACATTTGAGAACACTGAATAGAGGGGACCACACTAGGAACAGCACCCACACAGGGAAAGCTGGATACTGTTCTCCGAGACTGTCCCCAGTGCTGGGACTCTGTATCAGATTCAGAAGCTAACAACATGGGGCCATCACCTGCTCTATCCACAGAAAGGCAGCCCAAGGAAGGTTAAACAGTCCAGCTTGAGACATCAAGCAACACAAAGCTGGCACAAGACAACATAGTTATTCTTCCACTATGTGTTTATGACTTTCATATTTGTAGATTTTTATAAAGCTTTGGGGGCCAAAACAATGCACTGTCTCATCTTCTAAAAGATATTTCAGTTCCTGGAAGATGGAAATGCCATAAGATCACCATGTCTCACGTTATTTCAGCACCATGAGTGCATCCTCCCAAGGCAAAATAGCCTTTTTATACCCAAAGACAAATGCAAATACTGACCTATTTGTACTTATCCAGATACTACAACACTCAGATACATGGAACCCCTGCAGCAAACCGATGCCAAACTCCTACACAAGAAAGGCACAGCTGTGCTCAGACATGGAGCGCGTTCCTCTCTGGTTCAACAATGCACCCCAGAAAGGTCCAGAGTTACTGCTGCCCCGCTTAACAGAACTCCCCCAAGAGTAAGAGCAGGCAGTGCAAAAACTAGTACAGGCAGTCCTCGACTTACAATGTTTTGAGTTACAACGTTTCACACAACATTTATAAATTGACACCCCGTTTCAAATTTCTGACCTGTTTCAACTTTACAACGCTTGATCCGATGCAATGCCATGCCAGGGAACATGTTCACTGCACTGCCCATCTCCCTGGAAAACATCTGTCCAAGCTTCCTTGGATGCTTTCTTTAAGAAAGCGGCCAAGTCTCCAGAAAAACCTGCAGCCAAGACTCCTGAGAAGACTCCAACCAAGAGCCTTTCAAAAAGTTCAACCAAGAGCCCTTCAAAAAGTCCAGCAAAGTCACCTCAAAGAAGTCCTTCCAAATTAATGTGATTGCTATTTACAATATAAATACATTGATGTAGCTATATTACTCATCTATAATTGATTGAGTACAACATTATGGGTTATTTTTGGTGAAGATAGGGTATTGGGCCTTGGTTCAGGAACCGATCCCCCATTTATAACATTGTTTCCTATGGGAAAAAAAAAAAAATCAGTTCTGAATTATAACATTTGAACTTAAGACGCAGCTTTCAGGAACCAATTGTGTCGTAAGTCTGAGGACTGCCTGTATTGCATTAGGGACCATACATATGGTGTATCCACTGTGGTACACCACACACATACCAGCACTAGCTTGGGCACTGAAACCATTTAGCCATGGCAACTTGGGGCTCTGCAGGCTTGTCTACACATGCAAATTAATGTATATGAATAAACTCTAGAGCTTATTGCTCCAGAGTTTATTGCTCTCAGGTGCATGATCTACATGTGAGCACAGGACATTGAGCTGGGTTAGAGCAGCCCCAGCTAGCAGAGAGCCTTGGAGGTCAGCCTGCTAGCTTAGAGCTGCTCCCCCTGGCAAAATGTGCTGCGGAGGGGCTGGCTGGGGCATAAGGGTGCTTTAGGCTAGCTGGCAGGCAGCCCCCGCACTGAAGCACGCTCATGCCCCAGCCAGCCACATCAGCATCCATATGCTCTGCTGCAGAGTAAAAAACTCCACACTAGGACAGTACTTGTATTTAATAGTACTATTCTGCTGCGAAGTTAATTAGTTTACTCCAGCGTAATAGGGGTGCACATGTAAACGTGCAATGTTTACTGTGCAGTCAATTAGTCTACTGCACAATAAATGTCTTGTGTAGACATAGCCCTGTGTGAACTGATTTACTCAACTGAAAAGTATAAATTACACTGCTGAAATCCCATGCTGTCATATCTCAGGCACCTCTACACTACACTGCATCCTGCAGTAGAGACACACCCTTAGACACTCCTCATTTCAGTCCAAGACAAATGACAATTACTTGTAGAAAGCCCCAGATAACTGTAGGCCATTTCAGCAAGATTAAAGTCCCCTTTGAAATGAACTGCAGACAGATTATCAGAGAGGCAGAACAGGAAACATTCTGTAATGGCAAATTGACATCTGCACTGTATTACTTAAAACAAGTAATATAACACCCCCCCAACTTCTTAACAATGCCAGACTAGTGTGATTAGAGCTCTCCCCACTCCTGCCCCTACCCCACTCCCACCAAAAAAGAGAAAAAAAACCAATCAATCAGTACAGACACTGCAGCTGCTGCCCATTTAACATGTGATGTTTGTGTTGCTCCTGCTGCAGCTAATGTCCTAAGAAACTGGCAGGAATTGCAGCTCTGACTCCCATTTGGAACAGGGAGAGGGGATAAAGGCCTCCCTTTGCCAAGAGGTACCTTGACTTCTGCTCTGCAGAAGTCAGATAGCAGCAACATCCCAAGGTTTCCCCCAGGTACAGCTCACCCAGAGGAAAGGATGGTCTTGTGGTTAAGGTGCTAGCCTATGCCATAGAAAATTCAGGTTCTTTTCCCTGCCCTGCCACAGTAACCAAATTCCTTCTGTTGGCTTTATGACTTTAGCCAACCCACTGTACTTTAGATCCCCATATGTACAAAATAAGAATAGTAGCTCTTCACAGCCTTGGGAATAAATACATTAAAGCCCAGGAGGTGCTCAGAGATGAGGGACATACACACACGCAGGACAGGCAGCTGACCAAGGGACAGTAGAATTTCTTCTCTGCTGCAGGCTGCCATCTTACAGTACACTCTATCAAGAGCTGCCCAACCAAGGCCAGCCACAAGCTTCAGCCAGTGCTACATACTGCTGCCCATTCCAAGTGCCTGCTGCTACACCAGCTTCACTGGAAATTCATTTGCTTGGGATTCAAATTCAGAGTGCTGATTACAGACTAAGTCACTAAAGTCATCGCTAGTCTAGGGCCAGATACACTGGA